CTCCTACCCGGGTTTTGATCCAAAACAGCTCTTTGCCTCTCACCTCTAGACAACTTAGTTTCCTTGATGCGCGACAGGCCTGTTGGAGTCTAACCACAACTATATCAGCATTCGCCTTCATCCACTGTCGCAAGCGCCCCCAGATTAGCAAGACACCGTTATCCATCACGGACCCTAGGCTGGCTGGACCCTAGCCGAACATGATCTCTCAGGTGTTTCTTCACTATTTTCAATTATTAATTCATCCCATTTGGCAGGTGCAGATACAAGGTTTACAGGTCCGTAATCCCCAGGGTCATCCCCACAGACTCCTTCAAGGATAAATGCCACATGGGCTACCCACCCATCCCCGAGCGCAGAGGCTGTGCGTGCTGCGTCTGTGCGGTTTTGCACGAGTGGCTCCGCTCCTCTGTGCTCCGTCAGAGCCTCGCACCTCTGCTTCCAAGAGCGCCGTATCGGTGTCACCACACGCGGGGGTCTGCAAACCCGGCCAAACTTCCTACCTTGCCCCACACTCGACAACATTCAGACCCAGTTCATCTACCTCCGCTTTCCTACAGTAACATTAGAGGTGACATGAGAGGGAAGAAAAGAAAAAAAGGGCAGGGGGGATTACGTTCTGTTTTTCATTCTTTAAGATGTATGCAAGTGTTCAGGAGGCCTGACATTTAACCAGGCCTTTTCCTCCTGCTGTTTCCCCCCCACCAGAAATCTTATGGGGTTTTGTTTGTCCTGGAATCCTCTATAGAAATGTGGAAAAATGGAAGGATTATGACACAACACCCACTAAGCAAAACATGAACTGTTTGGGGGCTTGTATTTAGGGTGATTCAACTTTGTTTGCTGCTAAGAGTTATTTTAACTCAAATGCACGACACACAGTTGGGAGCAAAGACCTCTTTGCTAAAGATTCAAAACAACCCCCGCCCCCGGCCTCGTCCAAGCTAACCCGCACCAGAATCAAGGGAGATCGGAGCTGATGGTCTTTTTATTTCTAAAAACAGAAAACCAGCACACCACAACCCACTCCCCAAAGATGCCCCTTCCCAACGCAGTTTCACGCCGTGCCCGCTGTCGCGCGACTCCTTTAAAGAAGCTCACTTTTGGGGGAAAAGAAGAATGAATCCACACGTGGGACAGAGGGATTCAGCGAACCTACCGCAATGTAAACACTGCCGGGCCTCATCACAATTTGTCCAGGAGGAGAGAAGCAGGGAACAGGAGAACATGGCAGAACAGCATAAATAAGGAGTTCCCCCTGGGACCGAGCCGCCTGCTCCCACATACGGACCCAAGACGAAGCCCCCAGGCAG